AGCTCTCTGTGGAGCCAGGGCCACGATCCTCGAGAGGGGTGTGCCGAAATAAAGCCTCGGTGGAGCTCCCTGTGGAGCCAGGGCCACGATCCGTGAAAGGGGCGCGCCGAAATCAAACTTCGGTGGAGCTCCCTGTGGGGCCAGGGCCACGATCCTCGAGAGGGGTGTGCCGAAATGGAGCCTCGGTGGAGCCCCCTGTGGGGCCAGGGCCACGATCCGTGAGAGGGGTGCGCCGAAACCAAGCTTCGGTGGAGCTCACTGAGCCACGATCCTCGAGAGTGGTGTGCCCAAATCAAACCTCGGTGGAGCTCCCTGTGGGGCCAGGGCCACGATCCGTGAGCGGGGTGCGCCCTTTGGGGCCTGTATGGGGCTCCGCAGCAGTCCCGAAAGGACCTGCCGAGCAACGCCGCCGGGCCCTGCAGACCCCCGCAGCGGCCTGGCGAGGCCTCGTGGCGTTGCTCGGACCAGGGGCCCTGCAGGGCCCGTGCGTGGCCCCGTTGTGTTGCTCGGGGGGGGGGGGGGTCGAGCAACGGGCCTCCAGTAGTGTCCTCGCGAACAACAACAACAACAGCAACAACAACAACAACAACAACAACAACAACAGCAACAACAACAACAACAACTCACGCCTGATATTTCCTCACAGTGTATCGAGAAATCCGGCTTTCGCTTGAGACTTCCTTGCAATTTTCCCAAGAGTCGCGCTCCCGCCTGGGGCTTCCTCGCATTGGTTCAAATGCCGCTCCTCGACACTCAGGAATCGCGCTCTCGCTGTGAACCTCCTCGCGATTTACTTGGGAGTCGCGCTCCAACGAAATACTTCCTGGCGATCCAAGCAGGATTCGCGCTTCAACGACCCGCCCGCTCGACCCGCCCGTCGGGGCCTGCCCGCCCGACCAGCCCGTTAGGGACTGCAGTCGCCGCTCGCTGCCCTTCGCCCGCCTTCGGTACCCCTCGTTGCCCGTACTGGTTCCGCGGTCGCCTTCTCTCGCTGCCCTTGAATCTTCATGTTAATGATTCGTCATAGTTGATCCCCCCTGCCCAGTAACCATTGTATTTGTTCATTTGAAATGCTTCTGCCGGTGCTCGCACCCTATTCTTTCCAAGGGAGAGCGAGGTGCCACCAAACTTGGTTGTTGGCCTCTGGTGTACGACAACAACAACGACAACAACAACAACAACAATCATTTTACCCGAACGCGTGGTGTTCTCCCCAGTGCCAGGGTTTTCATACGACACCAGACAATACCCCCACTTCGTGGGGGGGCATTACAAGCTCTACCAAATATCCAAACGACTCTTCGCGACCACCCAAACCCAGCTTCCCGCCCTATGACGTTGGGACACTTCACTTCGTGGCGTGCGGACGTGGACTACACTGGCGTGGGGTACACACCACACACACAGAACTTGGTCACTTATTCGGGGCGCGCATGTGCCCAGCATGGTGCAATTGTGCCATACAATACATAATACAGAGAGACGAATGTGTCCCGCATGGTATTATTTGACAGGGATGATGGCCCTGGCAGGTGCGCAACCGTTGTCGCAGAAGTTCGAAAAAGTTGCTCGCAAAAGCCCGTTTGACAGAAATGTTTAAAAAGTGTTGGGTTTCCTACGAATCCGCAAGAGCGCGCGGGATGAGATTTTGACATTTTTTGTTGAAAAACCATTGGTTTTTTGATGTTTTTATGTTAAAATCGCTCCGAACACTAAGGTTTTGGAAGGATTTCGTCTTGCGCGCGCGAATGTCCACTTTACCTTATTTTTTGCAAGGGATTCTTGAAATTTGATTATATTAGAACAAGAAATGTCATTTTATAGTGTTTTTTGCAAGGGAAAGCGGGGGGGAACAAAACAACCGGATCTTGATCACATCGAATTACCTGAGGCTTCCTCACGAAAATGATGAAAATGTAGCTGCGGCCTAGGCGGCGCAGGGGGGCCGTGCACCAGGGGGCCCAACAATAATTATTCTTTAGAATTAATAATGTTCAACAACAACAATCACAACAACAACAACAGCAACAACAACAAAAACAACAAAAACAACATCGGCTGCCGCCTGATATTTCTTCACCACGTATTCTCAAATCGCGTTCTCGCGCGGGACTTCCTGACAATGTATACAGGATTCGCGCTCTCGCGCGAGACCTCCTCGCAATGTATTCAAACGATGCGCCCTCGGCGCTCAGGAATCACGCTCCCGCTGTGGATTCCTCACGGTGTGTTAGGATATCGAGCTATCGGTGGGAAATCCTCGCGATTCATGCAGAACGCACGCTTCAGCAACCCGCCTACCCGTTGTCCCTTGCTTCCATCCGTCCTCTCTTCCCCTGGCTTAGGGGCTGCACGGAATGCACGTTGCAAGTGAGAAAGATATACCCCGGATGGGGGTACGGTCGAAGACGAAGAGGGCGAGTATCGAGGATTTGGCTATACGTGTTGACTGGCATGAGAGCAGATGAGGGCGAGCAGTCTGAGGATGATTGTTGTTGCTGCTGTTAGTGATGTTGTTGTTGGTATGATTGTTGTTGTTGATGGTGATGGCTTTGTTGGTGTTGCTGTTGATGTTGCTATTGTTGTTGTGTTTGTTTGTTGTTTGGCGCCGTCCCACCCGCGACCCACCCCGCGACCCACCCGCGACCACCCCGCGACCGACCTCGCGACCCACCCGGAAGCCACCTGCGACCCACCCCGCGACCCACCCGCGACCCCTTCCGCGACCCAACCCGCGACCCACCCGCGACCCACCCCGCGACCACCCGCGACCCAACCCACGGCCCACCCCGCGACCCGCCCTGCGACCCACCCTCGACCCACCCGCAACCCACCCGCGACGCGACCCACCCGCGACCCACCCCGCGACCCGCGACCCACCCGCGACCCGCGACCCACCCCGCCACCCACCCCGCCACCCACACCACCGTCCTAGCACACCATGCCACCATCGGCGCCTTCGGCGGGCTGCTTTGCGTTCGCTCGAGCGGTAGAGCGCCATCGCGCGCACTGCCATGCCAAAATCGGCGCCTGCGGTTCGTTTGAAGGGAGAGCGCCGTTGCGCGCACTTCCCACGTCCTACCCGCGACAAGGACATGACAAGGAGGATGACAAGGAGGAGGGCGAGGGGGAGGATGAGGAAGAGGAGGATGCGGAGCATGCGAGGCAAGGGGGGGCGGGGGGCAAGCCAGGGGAGACAGGAGCAGGCGGAGGACGAAGAGGAAGATGAGGATTTTCATGAGCGGAGCCAGGAGAAAACCGAAGGAGCGCCAGCGGAAGGGAAGGGGGTGGCCACGAGGTCCGCCAGATCGACGCCCGCGTCGCCGGCGTCCGCCCCCTCACTCTTATCCGCAATTGCGGGGTGCTACGCAGTGAGCGGCCCTCAGCCCAGACTTCTGAAACTCCCAGGCGGTCCATTTTCCTGTCGCGTGACTCTTGCTGTGGCCCGCGGGCGCAGCAACGACCCAAGAGGGTCCCTGGAGGCGTCCAAAACAGTCCAAGGGGCCCCGAGACGGCCCAAGAGCGCTCGAAGACACCCAAAAGGGCCCGAGACGTCCTAAGAGACCTCCAAGAGGCCGCCCAAGTGGCTCCAAGAGGCCAACATGTTTGATATGGGTTTGGGCAGGATGTAGCGTTCTCGCCTGCCAAAGACGGTCCCAGAGGCATCCCAAAGGGCCCTGAGACGGCCCAAGAGATTCCCAGGGCCGCCAGAGTACTCCACGGTAGGCCCAGGTTGCCGAGACGGTGGCGGGGAGCGTCAAGCGCCTGGCGAACACCCTGCAGCTCGGCGCGGGCCGAAACAGAACTACAGCGCCCGCACCTCCAGCGAAAGCCGCGGGGTCTGGCTGGCAGAGACAGACCGCTCCAGCCGCGTCCCCGCCATGGGACCTGACCGCGGAAAGCCCACCGACACCGAGGCGACGAGGGTCGACCGCCGCGACATCCAAGGCGTGGGGGGAGCACTGCGGCGGGCAGCAGCTGCCACCACCTCCCACCCATAGCCTCAGGGCACCGCGCTGTCACACTCGCACCAACTGCGCTCCGCCGCTCGGCCCGCCCACGCATGAGGCGAGCTGGCTGCCAACGGCAGGGAGAGCTGGCGGAGGGTGACGGCCGCGGCCTGGTCGGCGTGCGAGGGCGTCCACTCGGCCATCACCCCCAGGTTCCCGCGGCGGTGCACGGCGGCGTGGACACGAACCCAGGGACCCCCCCGCTCGCTGCGCCGCACGCAGACCAGACTTCCGCCCCGCTCCCGTCCCACAAGCAGAGGCTGGTGGCAAGTCACAGGATGCAGGAGGACGGGCCGTGCCTTCCCACGGACGAGGGCCTGGAGCTCGGCCCCCGGCACAGCCGCTGCGGGTTACCCACCGCGGCTCGAAGCACGACCGCAGCTGAGCCGCAAAAGCAGCGACGAGGTCCCGAAAAGCGCTGGTCCCCTGACCCGTCGCCGAAAGCTACCACGGGTGGGCCATCGGCTGGTTGAGCTCAGCTCGCAAGAGACTACTCCCCCACCTGGAACTCTGGCAACTAAGGACGAAGGTCGGTGAAGACGGGGTGGGTGGGTGAGGTCCAAGACGAAGGACTCCTCGCCGCCAGTCATGGGTTGCCATCCGCGCCAACCCGAACCTGCTGCGCTACACGCTCAGTCGCCTCGATATCGAAGCGAACAAGAGTCTCTGCCTTGCCCGTGGAATCCACGGGCAAGGCAGAGACTCTTGTGAAAGGCAATCTGGCACGGAGAGATAACGCGGACAAGTGTGCTGTTCAGAGGTGCCTGAGGGGAACTGGCGCGTCGGTGGCCACTGAGCGCCTGAAAAGACGACGACGCAGAGCCACAAGCGTTATGCTCCTCATCTTATTCCCCCTCTTCCTACACCTACTCCTTCCCATCCTCCCCCGCCTGCCCCACCCCCCTCCCCCACTTCCTCCTCCTCCTCCTCCTCCTCCTCCTCCTCCTCCTCCTCCTCCTCCTCCTCCGCCTCCTCCTTCCCAACACCGTCCTACGTAGCGAGGAAGTAGTCGTCACCCGCCTCGTCCTCCTCGTCCACAACATCGACGGGGGACCCCTTCGGCAGCGGCACAGTCCAGGGGGGGAGGAGAAGATGGAGGAGGATGCGGAACTCAATTCACAGAGGATGGGGAGGAAATGGAAATTGTGAATAGGGAAAAAAACACCTCTGCCGCAGCGCGGCACGGGCAACTAGAAGCTAGCCGCCTCCTTCGACGTGACAGAACACATCAACGTTGGCCTCATTCACTCCCGAACCCACTCAACAACCGCATATGGCGACACTAAACCGTGCAAGCAAACAACTCGAGGAGGAGGGGGAGACGAGGAAGAAGGCGAGAGTAGAACGGAGGAGGGGGAGGAGGAGGGAGGTAGGCTGGGAGGAGGAGGGGGAGATGGAACGCCAGAGGAGGAGGAGAAGGAGGAGGAGGAGGAGGGAGGGAGGGAGGGAGGGAGGAGCAGCGGCAGTAGCGAGATGAGAAGCGGGGTTATGACGATGGAGATGGTATGGTGAGGGGGTAATGACGATGATGATGATGTTGATGATGATGCTGATGCTGATGCTGATGCTGATGATGATGATGATGATGATGATGATGTTGATGATGATGGTGATGGGGATGATGATGATGATGATGATGATGATGATGCTGATGATGATGATGATGATGATGATGACGATGACGATGAGGATGATGGTGGTGGTGATGATGGTGATGTTGATGATGATACTGATGATGCTGATGGTGATGATGATGATGGTGATGGTGATGGTGATGGTGACACTGATGACGATGATGATGATGATGATGATGATGATGATGGTGGTGATGATGTTGCTGATGAGTATGATGATAATGGTGACGAATATGAGGACGAGGAGGAGGATGAGGATAAGGATGGTGATGGTGGTGATGGTGATGGTGAGGTGGTAGTGATGCTGAGTATGATTACGATTATGGCTATGACAATGATTGTGATGATGTTGCTGATGATGTTGATGCTGATGCTGATGATGATGATGGTGGTGGTGCTGATGGTGGCAATTAGAAGAAGGGGCTTATAAACTAACCGTTGATGCATGAAGAAGAGCGGGAAAAGGGGGAGGGTACAAAAGAGAGAGGAGGAAGGGAAGTAGGGAGGGAGGAGGCAGGAGAAGAACGAGGGGAGGGCGCAGCAGGGAGAAACAACTGTTATCGGAGAGAAAATGGGAGGTGGAGCCTCCGACGTCACCCCACAATAACCGTCGGCCATGGGCGAGAGCCGTACGATGAACACATCGTGAGGGTACCGCGCTGGTTCGCGCTGAAAGAAGAGATTGCGCCTCTACGATCGACGGGAGATTCGGCACGCAGCCCTCCAAAACAGGCAGGACATCCAAGTCGCTCCAGGGGGGAGGGGGGAGGGAGGCGGAGGAGGGAGGGAAGAGGAAAGCAGAGGCGGAGGCAGAGGAATTGGGAGGAGAAGGAGCGGCATTAGCATCAGCATCCGCAGGGCTCGTGAGGCGGACGGCCTGGCAGAGCTGCACAGCGGGCCCCGTCATCCGGAGACCGAGGCCTGGAGAATCTTTCGGGAGCCGGGGCGACCGCGCCGCAAATCGAGTCGGATGCGACCTGGCGCTCGAACTCGCTCAGCCCACGAGCGAGCGCGCAGAGTCCGCGCATGGCTGCACTGGTGATGCCAGAGTCACATTGAGAGAATACCAAAATGAGGTATGAAAAACCACATGAGGGTCCAGAGGGAACCGGGTCGTCGGGTGCAGGGCTTTCCCCAGGAGCAGATCGCCATCTTGAGCCGTTGTTCTGACACGCCCGAGGCCCGCCAAGGATCCCGAGACCACGGAAACAGCGAAAAACCTTTGGACCCGTTTCCCTCGGGACCCGTCCGCTTCTCGGCGACATCGGATGGACTCGGCCCGAAAAACCGTGGCCTTTAACCCAGACTGGCGCGGATAGTAACAATATGACCTGAAGCGTGAACCGTACACCCATGCTGAATGTGGTCGGGTGCTGCACTTTGATCGGCGCCGCCGCGCCAGCGGATGGCAGCGATGGCTGCTCTGTTCATGATGGTGGACCTGCCCTCTCCCCTTCCTCCATTCCGCAAGCCGAAAATGATCGCGCATATACAAAAACACACACACACACACTGACCGCCGCCAGGAACCCGACGATAAAGTTCGCTGGCATCCCCCCCTCCTCCACCCCCCCTTTCCCTCATTCTTGACAGGTCCTCTTCTTCCCCCCATCACACCCTTTTCTCCATGTGGCTCCTCCTCTCCCTCCGCCTCTGCCTTCTCCATTCCCCTCCCCCATACAACTCCTCCCTCCCTTTGCCCCCTCCCTCCTTATCCTCCGTCGTCCTCCTCCTCACCCTCCTGCTCCTCCTCCTCCTCCTCCTTTTCCTCCTCGTCCTCTTCCTCGTTCCCCATTTCTCTCGCTTTTTCTGACGGAGCTGCAGAACTATACAAAAAATCAGTTTGGTCCACCACTCCGCCTCATCGCTGGGTGGAGGTTTTAGTGGCCAGGGCGCTGTTGTCTCATGTCCCCGCGGCCAGGGTAGACCCCCCTTTAATCAGCAGTCTGCTCGTCTGCACGAGCCCTTTCGCACGGGGCTGTAACAGCTGTCGTGGGGTCCCCGCACAGTACGCCCCACACCTCAAACATGTCACCACAGGCAAGGAAGATTTCATAATCTTGGCAACGTGCACATGGTGGGGGTGGGTGTCACGACCCAAGAGATCGAGGGGGTCAAAGCCGCACGAACCCCTTTAGAGTTCTTGATGTCAAATATCAAAAGCACGGGCGCAATCCGAACAGCACCATTTGAAACCGTCCCAGCGGGCCCGCGGGGGAAACCAAGGGTCGCGGGATCGGAGGCCCGATCCTTTTTCCAAAAAACAAGCTCCTCGGTTTTGGGACAGCTATCTGAAACACTCGAAATGCCTACGGCAAGGACGTCCACCTACTCAGAGCCAACTCATATGTCACGATGGCCTGGGCCATCTCGGAATGTAGTGTGGCCCCGTCGTTAGCATACCCATCACCCTTACCACTACCCAGTGTATGTAGTCTAGCTGCTCCACCTGCATAATCACCGATATGATATGATGTATCCACCTTGCTCAACGACCATTCAGGATACGGGCGAAAGAAAAGGACTTTCCAACCTCGCTGAGCGGTGATCTCCCTCTCGTCGCTGCCCACTGGTCCAGTGGGCCTGAATGATTTGTTCAACCTCAGAACGCCCTGGGCGTTGTTTTACCATTGTGCATTGTGGGATACTGACAGCCCCAAAGCGCTGGAAACAAAACAACGCAACGAGTGTTTAGCGTGCGTACTCAAATTGTGCTATATTGTTTAGGCCCGCCGCTGTGGATCATTTCGTTGGCGTGTGTTCTACCGTCTTCGCTCCCGCTCTCCCGATCCTGCTGCATCCCGCTCCTCCCGCTACGCGCGCAAAACTACCCACCCACCCACCCCCCACCCACCCGAAAGAAAACGCCGTAATGCTGGTCGAACAATGGCGCGACATCGACCCAGAGGCCCCACGATCGGCCATCGGCGACGGCCGGAGAAGAGCAAAAGGAATCATAGTCACAAGGACCATCAGAGTAACAGCAATAATAACACGAAAAATCATTTGGACTGTACTGGTAAATATTGGAAAACAAAATTAACGGTAACAGCAACAAAACTAGCGAACAACGATTAAACCCTTTGAACAATAAAAAATAAGAAATATCAAACTAATCATAGTATGAGGAGGACTAGACTCAAGGAGAAGGAACTGAGGTCGTCGTAGACGGCAACGTTGAACAACGCAATCGACTGATGCATGCATGTACCGCAGTTTCAGCATGTGTTTTGAAACAAAAGGTGACCAAAACGTCAATCTAGAAACAGCAGGTGTGTATACATACATTTATACATGTACCCCAACGCAAATCACGGACAAACGAAACTGACAACAAAAGGCCTGACATTCGACGTGCAGCCTGAACGGCTCTGAATCCCCGCATGATTCGAAGTGCTCCATTGCATGGAGCAGAACCAACTGCTCAGCAGACACAGCGCTCTGGGGCAGACAGATCACCAGAGGAGCTTCCACACACTGCTCCAGAACAATGACCTTGATCACCAATCTGAATGACCGCCCACCCCGCCGCCTCCTCCTCCTCGCCCTCCACCTCCGCCATCCTCCTCCGCCATCCTTTTCCTCCTCCTTTTCCTCCTCGTCCTCCTCCTCCTCCGCTTCCTCTTTATCCTCCTCCTCCACGTTCTCTTCTACCTCCTCCTCCTCCGCCCCCATGGCATGGGGGGGGAAGGGGCGTACCTTGTCCTCGCAAGTGAGCACGCCCCCGTCCTCCGACAGCTCATCCGTGCGACCGCCGCAGACGCCCAGGTGAGCCCTGGCAGCTTTGTTTGTGCCACGTCGGGCACGAAATGCCTATGTTGCCGCTGTCTGCTCGTTCGCCTCTCCTTCCCTCCTCCTGGCCCCGACGAGAGGGAGAAAGGGATATGCGGGCGCGAAGCGGAGGAGAACAGACGGATGAAACCAGCGAGAGACAGTTGTATACATGATAGCCAACCTGGATCCCAAGCTTGGTCGTTTAGCGTACTCGGTTGTGCCGCATACGTGGTGCCATATAGGTGGTGCAAGCTATGTGGTAGAAACTCTGTGATGCAATATGCGTGGTGCAAGCTAGGTGGTGTAAGCTACGTGGTGGGCGCTACAATAATGCTGCGGCATATGTTGTGTGAGACACGTGCTGCGGCATACCTACTACGAGATATCGTAGTCATATACGTGGTGTGCCCTATGTGGTGTACGATGCGTGATGTCATATATGCGGGGCGGTATATGGGATGCGAGCTATGTAACGCAATCTGATTGGCCCAACTCTGAGTAGATATATTTGTGGAATATTATACACGTGCGTATGATGCAATATGTGTGGTTCAAGCTACGTGGTGCAGTCGAAAGGGCGTTATGTCTGCAGTACGATATACGTGGTGCGAGCTGCCCTGGTTTACAATATGCAGTGCGATATGTGCGGTGCGAGCTATGTAATGCAGGCTACCTGGTGCAATATACGTGGTGCAATAGCTGTGGAGCAAAATACACATGTGTATATATATGTATATATATATGCATATGTGGTGCGACGTATCTGGTGCGAGCTTCGTGGTGTGGGGTACGTAGTCCAGTATGATATGGTGGCGCATAAATAGTGCAGGACAGGTGGTGCAAAACAAACTGCTCGCGATAACTTGTCAAAACCACGGTTCGCGTAATCATCCAACCCGCCCACCCGCAACTTGGTTTGTAAAACCCACGCGGCGGCGAGAGTGCTTGCTGGTGGCCAGTGCTTATCTGCGTCCGCGCTGGCCCGCGCATGCTCGCGCGAGCAGCGGCCGCCTTCTTTGGCGCGACCGACGCGGCCGCGGCGACAGTGACCACCAGGCACATCCCATCGGTCACTTCAATGCGAGTCGTCGGCGTGGATGGGCGCGGTATCATGACAACGTCGGCAACGGTCGACACGATGATGCTAGTAGCGATGCTAGTGACGATGGTGACAACGACGACGGCATGGTTTGACGGCGCTGATGCTGATCACACCACCGACGATGACGACGCCTTCGTGTCGATGATGAAGGTGTCGGAAGGAGATCGGCATGCGCGTGCGGCCGACGCGCACGAGTAGCCCGCATGGTATTTCCCAACCATCCTGTGGTGTTGGGTCCTCGTTTTGAAGAGACGGTGCCCCGCGTTCCCTCCTCCTCCTCCCGCTGCCCCCTCCCTCCTGCCATCATCATCATCATCATCATCATCATCATCATCACCATCATCATCGTCATCATCATCATCGTCATCATCATCATTATCATCATCATTATCATCATCATTCCTCTCCTCTCTTCTCCTCTCCTCTTCTCCTCTCCTCTTCACCCACCCAGTACACTGTTTCGTGGCTCCATAGAGAGCTCCACCGAAGGCCCCAGTGCCCGCGCCCGCATGCGTCACCCACACCCATTTCGGCACACCCCTCACACGTTTCGTGGCTCCATAGGGAGCTCCACCGAAGGCCCCAGTGCCCGCGCCCGCATGCGTCACCCACACCCATTTCGGCACACCCCTCACACGTTTCGTGGCTCCATAGGGAGCTCCACCGAAGGCCCCAGTGCCCGCGCCCGCATGCGTCACCCACACCCATTTCGGCACACCCCTCACACGCTTCGTGGCTCCATAGGGAGCTCCACCGAAGGCCCCAGTGCCCGCGCCCGCATGCGTCACCCACACCCATTTCGGCACACCCCTCACACGTTTCGTGGCTCCATAGGGAGCTCCACCGAAGGCCCCAGTGCCCGCGCCGCATGCGTCACCCACACCCATTTCGGCACACCCCTCACACGCTTCGTGGCTCCATAGGGAGCTCCACCGAAGGCAGTGGCCCATAGGGAGCTCCACCGAAGGCCCCAGTGCCCGCGCCCGCATGCGTCACCCACACCCATTTCGGCACACCCCTCACACGTTTCGTGGCTCCATAGGGAGCTCCACCGAAGGCCCCAGTGCCCGCGCCCGCATGCGTCACCCACACCCATTTCGGCACACCCCTCACACGTTTCGTGGCTCCATAGGGAGCTCCACCGAAGGCCCCAGTGCCCGCGCCCGCATGCGTCACCCACACCCATTTCGGCACACCCCTCACACGTTTCGTGGCTCCATAGGGAGCTCCACCGAAGGCCCCAGTGCCCGCGCCCGCATGCGTCACCCACACCCATTTCGGCACACCCCTCACACGTTTCGTGGCCCCATAGGGAGCTCCACCGAAGGCCCCAGTGGCGGCGCTCACATGCGCATGCGTCCCGCACACCCATTTCGGCACATCCCTGACAGGTTTCGTGGCCCCATCATCCACCGGAGGCCCCAGTGGCGGCGCTCACATGCGTCACCCACACCCACCCAATTCGGCACACCCCTCACACGTTTCGTGGCCCCATAGGGAGCTCCACCGAAGGCCCCAGCGGCCGCGCTCACATGCGTCCCCGCCACCCATCCCGGCACGCCCCTCACAACAACAGGTTTCGTGGCCCCATGGGGAGCTCCACCGAAGGCCCCAGTGCTGCCGCCCGCATGCGTCACCACCCGCACCCAATTCGGCACACCCCTCACACGTTTCGTGGCCCCATAGAGAGCTGCACCGAAGGCCCCAGTGGCGGCGCTCACATGCGTCCCCGCCACACATCCCTCACGCGCTTCGTGGCCCCATAGGGAGCTCCACCGAAGGCCCCAGTAGCGGCGCTTACATGCGTCTCCGCCACCCATCCCGGCCCCCCCCCCGCAGCAGCATCATGTTTCGGGGACCCATAGGGAGCTCCACTGGAGGCCCCAGTGGCGGCCCGCACATGCGTTTCCGCCACCCATGTCGGCACGCCCCGCGCGTGTTTCATGTCCCCATAGGGAGCTTCGCCGAATGCCCCAGTGGCACCCATCTCGGCACACCCCTCACACGTTCCGTAATCCTATGGGGAGTTTCATTGAAGATGAAACCCGCAGCTGCGGTACTGACAACTGCATATGGTTGGGTTCTTCGCCAAGCTAATTGTTACACGGATCGTGCCCCCCCCCCCCCCAGCACGCGCGCAAGGGCGTCCGAATGGTTTCGGAATGCGGCACGAGAGGCCCGTCTGGCAGAATTGCACGAAAACGGTTATATACAGTTATATATATAAAGAAAAGAAGGGGGGAAAAAAACGTCGGTTGTCTTGAGAACTTGCAAAAGAGCAAACACATGTTTCTTCGAAAACTGATGTTGTAAAGCCATGAGTTCTGAAACCCGACTTTGAAATCCAGGCGAAACCGAAAGTTCCAAAAGATTTCGGCGCGCGCGCACGACGACGCGCGCGCGTGCACTTTTTCCCCATTGTTCGCAGGGCGCCCGAACGATTTCGCCATGTTCGCGCGCGCGCTCAGGCGCTCAGAAACCTCTGCAAAGCGCCCAGGCGCTCAGAAGCCTCTGCAAAACGTTCAGGCGGCCAGAAGCCTCTGCAGAGCGCTCAGGCAGGCGCTCAGAAGCTTCAGAATCCTCTGCAGAGCGCTCACGCGCTTCTGAGGGCTGGTTGTAGATGGCCGTTCTGGTTGCAAAGAGCCCCGTCTGCGTTGTAAAATGGTCGCTCTGGTTGTAAAGTGGGCCGCTCTGTTTGTAGAATGGTCGTTCTCACAAGAAAACCATGGGATTCGATCCTTTGCTGGTTGTAAAGTGACCTATCTCGGTTGCGAAGTGTCGTTCGGGTTGTAAAAAACCGAATCTCGGGGGGGGGGGGGGTCGACCCCCCCCCCCCCCCCTCCATCCAGGAGGGGGGGGGGGGGGGGCGAGGTCCGCCCCCCCCCCCCCCCCCCTCCAAACGACCACAGAACGCGCTCTTTCGAATATCACGGAGCGGAACGACGAGAGCAGGAGCACCGACAGGCAACGCTGGCTCCGTTTGATCCCAGTCCTGTCCAACATATTTCTTTCCATCCCATTTCATCGCATCGTACCCCATCCCATTTCACCCCATTCAATTACTTGCGCGTGCAAAATCAGAGCCATAATTCAGATATGTGTGTGTGCATGTGTGCGGTTGTTGTGTGTTTTGTGTTTTGTCATGTTCCGTCCGGTATGTTGTTGTGTTTGTTATGTGTTTTGTGTGTGCGTGTTTGCTTGTGTTTTGTTGCCAGACCCTGAATTGCCCCGAGCGCCCCGGCCATCCCGCCTCGCGCCCTCGACTAAGACTTTTTTTGCAAGCGCGAGAGGAGCCCCTGGGTCCTGGGCAAGAGCCAGGAAAGGAGGGGAGAAGGGGGAGGGAGGGGGAGAGGAAAAAGCAGCAGCAGCAGCAAGCAGCCTAGGCGCGGCCAAGCCCACCTCTCAGCGCGCCCTGGCCTGCGGGGCGCGCGCGCCCCCCGCGCGGCTGGAGCGCCGTCGCCGCGCGGCCGCCGCCAGCCAGAAGGCGCGCGCCGCCTCGAGGGCCAGCGCCGCCGGTCCAAGGGCGGCCGGGTCCTCCGCGGCCGCGTCGAGCAGGAGCGCCGCCCCCTGCGCTGCTCCCAGGGCCTTGCGCCACGCGTCCGCGCGCGCTCGCAGTCCGGCCGCCTGGTCCGCGCGCGTGAGGTTGGCCAAGCCAGCCTCTGCCCAGAGGCGCGCGGCGGTGGCGTCCGGGGCGCCCCCGCCGGCAGCCGGAGTACCGCCGCTGCCGGGCGCGCCCGCCGCGGTGGCCTCGCGGGCCGCCGCGCCTCCGGCAGCCGAACCGCCGCCGGCGCCAGCTGGCCCCGCGGGCCGCTCCGCCGCCCGCGCAGCCCCGCCCGCCGCCTCGCCGCCGGACGCCGCCAGGGCCGGCAAGTCGCCACCCCGGCCGCCGCAGCGGCCGC